CGACTAGTTCTTTGTACGATTCTTACGATTCTCTCAAAACTTGATCGTGAGAGATCAGATACTTTTACTTGATTGCATTACATCTTGCCTGGATCACTGCATTAAAGAAAAATAAATATAACGGATTCTTGTATCGCTATCCGATCAGTAAAATAGCAGACTGTCGGAGCGGGTGGATGTGAAGCGACACTCTTTGCCAAAATTTTAAGAGAGAAGAAAATTAGTATATTCTACTGATTATTACTTTGTTCAACATAACTGATAATTCAAAATTGCAATATTGGCCTACTATTATCGAAATTGTTCTAAAGACACGACAAAAAGTAGACCAAATAAGGCTTGCACCTTCTACAAAATACACCGAACCCCACCAGTTTCATATGCGAAATCACCGAACCCTCCTTATTAATAGTTGTATCGTCCACAATAACAAAATCCGATCGTGAATCCTATGAGTCGGGTGTCTGTCTTGACCTCCGCGGAAGCCCTGAGACTGAATTACCGAACCTCTCGGGTTCGATGGAGCCCACTGATTTAAGCTCTTATGATTTTCCTACTTTTTATTCGTTTCGGCATCTTAAGGGGAATTTGATTGGCGTCCAGTGAAGTTTTAGGGAAGGACAATCAGCGTAATTGTTAATTTTTTTCCAGATTTTCGCACACACAAACACACACGCATATATATATATATATATATATATATATATATATATATATATATATATATATATATATATATATATATATAGATATATTTATATATGGGGGGCGCCAAACTGAAAGTTCGCCCCGGGCGCCGGGAGGGGTCGCTACGCCTCTGCGTGAGAATTTAGACAATCTGTGTACATCAGCAAATGAAGAGAGAACTCTCTAGGCCTTTGTTAGGTGAATTATAAATGTATGGAGAGACAGAAAGGACTACAACACAACGTTTCACGCCTACGTGTGTTTCGCCATCCTTCGTCAATTTCCGTGGGTCGCCGAAGGAAAAAAAATACACACAAAAAAAATTGATAATCAAACATGGCGGACGTGCCGGCGATGTTCGAAGTGTGAAATAATTCAGGGGGAGATAATAGGACAAACTAAGGGGAGGCTACTGTTTTTTATGCCTTCGTTGAACAGACAAGAAAATTGGCTGAAGTTTAGGGTGTTCTTCGGTGAGCCGAAATTACGCTTTTAATTGAAGATGGAAATTGTTTACGTAGTATTTCGTAATGTCTATAGTTTTCATCACGTAGCAGCGTACTCTAGCGTCCTCTAGCTTTTTAGATGGGAATACCAATTTTACTAACTGGTGAAGGTGTTAAATTTTCATCAAAGTAAATTGAATAGGCAAGAACGGCGTAGTCAGGAGACAGAGCGTATAATTCTTAACTTTAGAAGTACCGAGTTCGGACACCCCCCTTCCCCCCACACACACACGCACAAAAAAAGCGCACATTTCAAGATTCGTTAGCTGGAGACAGCAACCCATCTAGGATAGAGAACTCCCAAATGAAACAGCCTCTGCCCTGCAGACTGTTTTTGCTGTGGAAGCAAATCCAGGAATTAAAAAAAAAAGAGTAAGTTCAGAGTTAACGGGCTATATGGTGCAAAACATATCATCAGGAAAACTTAGATGTTTTGCTAGAAATCTTTAAGAACAAGAAGAAGAAAGACGTACTTTATAGTTTGATGTAGACCATATTGAATAGTATTTAGGAGTTGTCTCTCCGAGGGTTCGAACTCGAGACTTTTTGGTTTAGCAACCATGCGATTTACCGACTCGACCACACCGACCCCTGTACGAGAACCAAAATACTATGTTGAAAATAAACTTTTACGACTACTCCTAGAAACAAAAATTTGACAAGACTTATCTCTAATCGTTAGAGTGACTTGCTAAATAATCCTACCATTAATAAATCGAAAATATGTTGGTTCAAGTGAGAATTTTTTAAGTCAAAGTCGTGTTTTATAACATTGCTATGTACCCCCTCCCTTCCGCTCTATAAACAAACAATATATAAAAGAATACATTATTTTTTAATATGTTCATTATCATTAAAATCATTAAAGATATAATTTAATAATTTTTTTTACAGAAACATTAAATATTTTACTATCACAGTTATGAGTGACTTTTTGAAACATATATGTTCTCTTTGTCCTCTATGTTCTCTTTGTTCTCTTTGTTTTCTTTAACTCAAAACAGCTCACGTGTGTGTTGATGTAAATGTTTGTAAAATTCAAAGTGCAGTTTATTTTTTTTTCACCCCTAAAAACCCAAGAGGCGTCCGCCTCTAATGTCTTCTAAACACCAGTTTTGCATATTTGTTTTTCACCCAGTTTTTTTTTTCTGTTACAATTGGCTTAAATCGTTCCCTATGGTCTTAACGAATTTTTTTTTACTCTTCCCTTAAAACTTTCGGATACACCGTAAAAAGCCGAGTAAGGGAAAGAATAACAAGTCAGAAAGTCCGTCTATTATCTCCCATTGTGTCGTCTGCTTTCTTGTCCCCCCACTGGTATCCACCGGGCGCCATCTTTAAAGCCGAAAGCCACGTCACATCCCTAGCGTAATTTGACTGGCTCAACGTCTCGTGCGTCTAAAAATAGATCAAGAGGAAAAAAAAGAGTAAGTCAGACACTAGGCTTCTGAATGGAACTTATGTTTTTTTTAAACCCAATCCTCTACCGCAAGTCTTTATGTAGAATCACGTTCATTACGGGTTCTTTCTATCTCGGTGACGTTGAGTTAACCCATAAGGCACAATGTTAGATTACTGTTGTTGCCATTGCGACACAGACAACAACACATAAACAGAGGATTTCCCTGTAATGCTCTTATGTAAGCCTCCATCTAAAACAGGTCGCGTCTCTATAGGGTTATACTGTAAGGCCTTGTATTTTCCGTATAGCGTTAATGCTACTGTAAACAATGTGTTTGTTTGATGAACGTCATTTTCGTTGATTATAACAGAGCATAGATATAGCTTAGTATATGAATAATGTGCTTGAAAAAAACATTTATATACTCCTACAATGAACATGTAATAAAACATAATTTTGTAAACTTTATGTGAAGTTTTACAACTTCATAATTTATATTTTTTAATATATTTACTAACATATTTCTTAATTAGAAGCTAAATTTTGGGAGTAATTTTAAAATATTTGCCTTAAGGAAAAGAAACATGGCGTATGAGTACATGTCTGTTAAGTTTAAGGTTGTAAAAGACTTTTTGTTAAATCACGTAACTTCTACGTTGAATATGATCAAAGAAGTAATGTATTTATAACAACTACAAAAAGCCCCATAAAGCTACTTTAGACATAAATATACCGTTGTTGAAAGGAAGGGACATGTATATCTTAACAAAAAAATTTGTCGTATACGAACATTATTAGTGTGTTTTAGAAGCAGATATACTCTGCACTTTGGCGTTTAAAACTTCAGCGAACCAAATATGTGTACATCTTTTAAGTAGTCAAACAAGGACAAGACAGCTTTCAGTAAACTGCACGCCAATGCACATAACATTTCAGTGTTTATATGTTTAAGGTGTTATTACTGTAGGAAGAGGTTGAAAGATGCGCCTCAAAAAGGTTTTGTATTTGAACATTGTATGTGGTGTGTTGAGTGGTTATCTACACGTGTAATCTGTGTTTTTTACAGTGTCGTGACGATTAAAAACAGACGCTTTACAAAAGTTGTGTAAATGAGAATTTTATCGGTGTGTTACGAGGTTTCAATGCACGTAATGTGTATGTCTTTACTGTGTCAAACCAATGGAAAGAGGTGCTTTACAAAAGCTGTGTAAAAGAATAGTTTATTGGTTGGTTAAGACGTGTCTAGCCGTGTAATTGGTGTGTCTTTACGGTGTCCAGACAATAAAAAGAGTCGCTTTACAAAAGATGTGTAAATGAATAGTTTATTGGTTGGTTAAGACGTGTCTAGCCGTGTAATTGGTGTGTCTTTACGGTGTCCCGACAATAAAAAGAGTCGCTTTACAAAAGATGTGTAAATGAATAGTTTATTGGTTAGCTAAGACGTGTCTAGCCGTGTAATTTATGTGTCTTTACAGCGTTAAACAAAGCAGAGATCGGCGCCTCTCTTAACAGCCGTGTAGATAAATATCTTCTTTTACATCACGTGACAACCACAACCTGCCGGTTAAAAAAAAACAAAAAACAACAACCCAACAGCCGCACGTTACCGATCGACCGGCATCCCCACCTCCCCTGCCAGCCGGCACCGGCTCTTTTATCACTGTCGCCGTGTCCAAGAAGCCCGTGGGTGAGCGGTGTTTGTCCGCCCGAGCCCACGACGCGAACACAAGAAAATTATTGTTCCAATGTCTCTCCACCCTCCCTCCGCCCTTTAACGATTTTTTTTTCTCCCTCTCCCATCTTAATCTTTCGCGCGTGCGAATTCGCCTCCATTCGACTGGTGCAGGCGAAATGCAGCTTGAATATTTAGAGTGCCAGGGAATAGAGTAGCGTCAAGCGTCTCTCTGAGGACTATTCTGTGTTTTTCTACAAGTCAGACGTAGTTTTATCATCCATTGGCGGCCATTTTGGATGAATTCAACATGGCTGCGTGTCTAGGAAGGAAGTTGGTGGCTTGGCTCGTGTTCAAAACGTGAACATGTGACAAAAATGTGGCGACAAGTATATTTCATTTGGAAATTTTGTGTTTAGAATTTGAGATTCCATTATGTAAAGTACGGTGTGTTTTCTTTTATAAATAGTGTAGCAACGTAACGTTTCGTAGTTTTAAAAAATACGGCTACATTTTTCAACAGTTACTTTTGTAAAAAAAAAAATCAATTCATAATTTTACTTTATTTAACACTCAAATGTGCATATAAATAAATTAAAATTAATCAATAAACTAGAATATACAGTGTACATTTCAATACAATGTTTAATACATTTTGGGTGTTTAAATTTAATTGTTTAAGATACAGTTTTAATCAACTTGTATACAATTTGTTTAAAAAGCAGAAATAATGAACAAATCAAACTATACCATTTTTCAGTTTAATGATAATGAATTTACAAACGTGAAGGTTAGTTTAAGCAATGGGACTTCCCAACTCTCGCCCTAGTATGTTTAAATTTAGTTATGGATATCTCCGAACCGCAGTGAATACCAAATGGAAGTAACTGTCAAACAAACAGGACTCGACCCCCGGCCATCGGAGTGGATACTTAACGGTCTACTTCCTAGGAATGCATTGGTCAATGTGAGTACCACGCGCGCAAACACACATACACACACGCACATACACACACGCATATACACTGTGTTGTCCCTTTTACGTTTACAATCTGTGAAATTTTTTTTTTTTAAACGAAATCTCGAAGTCAGTATTTTCATGTAATCATTCTAAATTTTATATGTTTGTTTAAAAAAAGTTGCTTTATTTCATACTTTACTTATCAAGAAAGCTTTTGAAACAAATAATTGACAATATTTTATTTTTTATACCTTAACGTTTTGTATCAATATAATAAAATGTATATCTAGTTTTACTATCGTGGAATGATAGAATTTAATAAAGCATAATGAGTCGCAATGCTTGGCTCGTTAAGTAGGATGCTATACCCAGAAATATAATTGAATAATTATACTAAATTAATAATCAATAACAGCCAACTGCAATTATAGGGCTACATTATAAATCAATACCTCAGGTTAGAAATATTCAGCACAATATAATATACGAATCTCACAACTTCTCTCCCTGCTATGAATTATTTTCTGAACAATCTTTTAAAGGTCTGCTAAACCTTCTCTTCATATTCCTGCCTTCAATATGTATATTGCTTTAGTTGGAACTTCACATAATCCTATCTTACTATCAACTTTAGTTTAGCTTATCAACAAAAATTTTCAAAGTAATTTCTAACATTTAGGTTTACTTGAAAACACAGAAATAAACAAAATGAGGATTTTTTTTTTCAATATTTCATGAACCCATATAAACTATCGATTTTTAGGGAAATTTACGTCATTTGCTGAATATTCCCTTGGCGAAATGCTATTACATATGCGTGTATTTTTATTCTATTTGAAGCTGAAATACATATTAAAACATTGAAGCACAGCGCAACTAAACGAATGTATCATGTTGTCTATTCACTTACTTCCCGAAGAGCTTGTATATCTGTGTATTTGAAGATAAGCGCTGATCGGTGCGTTACGAATGTTGCATTGGATAGCTATAAATTAGTGTATGTATGGATGTCGCTAAGTGTATTTTTTTTAGGTTTTATTGATCCGTTGAACTGGTTGGTGACCTACTTACCAGCCTTATTGCTCAGCTTACCTGAATTTGATGACTGGCTTAGTTGGATTTGAACACACCCTTTACTAGCCATTCGTTCAAAATGCTCATTTCTTAGTTTATACCAAATTATTAAATGTTTTTGATTAAATTTGAAATACAAATACATACTATCTTGACATAAAAGAAATGCCATGTTTATGCGCTATTTCAAGTTTAAAATCCTGAAAGTCAAATCGACCCTTTTTAAAATATAAAATAAATATTTTATTCAAACATCAACAACAGTTTCGATAATCAGTTCACGAAATTACCACAAAAAACAATCTTTAAAAATTCCATTTCATGTTTTCATCGCAAAAAAAAAATATTAAACGTAAAACTCATAGATGACGAAACAAAGTCTTTAATTTTCAAAGTCTTCTTCAGTCAACAACCAAAGCCGGTCCTCACATAGTAATCTCAACAACAAAACATTGAAGATTACATTGAACAGAGGCTTGAAGCCCAAGACAATACAAAATACATTGAAAACATAATCAATAAAAGCCCCCACACGAAGATTAATGTTTTAATTTTTCAGCAGCATTTTTTTTTAAATCAAGGGAAATAAAATGTGTTGACTGTTTAAAGGGAGGTAAATTTAGACTTTGAAACAAAACTAATTTGTTTACACAGACTACTGGTTCTGTTCACCGTTATAGAATAAATGTGTGTTAGTTAACATAAGTATGCACTAGTTTTCCAAGCTTGATAATACATTATTGAAACTCATTTATATTTTGTAGAAATTGTATTTTATTCAAAATACAAAGCATTAGAAATTATTCTGTTACCAAAGTCTATAAGTAATTATTTTTTTAAGATCATGAGATTTGTATAACACTTATTTGTTTTAAAATAGTAAGTTTATAAATTAGATCTATAATATATTTCAGGGAAAAAAATGGATTCGTAGATCCATAAGGCTAGTGCACTGGTTTAAAAAGGCCATTCCCTATAATAAAATCGTTAATGTGAATAACGATTTATTTTTAATCTTATTCTCAGTAGAGCCATTCATTTTTTTCTGCGAACCTGCGTCACCAGTCAAACAGCCCATGTAGCAGTGTCGTTCTTTTGTACCGTTGCCCTGGAGCTTGTATATTTAATCCGTGTAGTCTAGTCCATAGCTGTCAGCACGTTCTGTATCCCCCCTCCCTCTCCCCACCCCTACTTCCCCAGCCCGCCCATGGGCTTTTAACTGTCAACCATAGCCAAAGCCAGAAATACACTGGATTTAACAGGAAAAAAAACTGTTTGAAAATATTTTTTTCTAAAAGAAAAATTCTTCAAATCTTCCTATTTCTCTAGTCAAGCTTTTCCTGTGTGTCAAAGAGTGACGCGGGGAAAAAAAATCCAACCTCACCTCCCCTCCACACAACTTGAAGGCACCATAGAATCCAACTATACTTAGGAGGACCTTACCCTCCCACTGTCTCACCACACCACCCCCCCCCCCCCCCCTCACCCATTGAAAAATCCTGTTACCACGAAGGAAGAACGAACGCTGTCAATCCCTTATTCCGACCCATCAGGAAAGCAAAGCATATTGATTTCTCTCCCTTCCCTCGCAAGTTCGATCACTCCATTTAATCTGTGGATCTCGCGTTTTCTTAGGCGCCATCTTGTATATCTGACTACATATTTATGCCTTTCTCTATCTCTCTCTATCTGACTCTACCATTCACATTTTTTCGAGTATGTTATTTTTCTTTCAGTTTATAGTTTCAGTTTAATAGACTTCACTATTAATAATTATTTCTATAAGTGATGATATAAAACTTGCAGTTTATTATTTCCGTTTATTAGACAACGCTATTAATGATTGTATTATATCTATATATGACTTTATAAAACTTGCAGTTTATTTTTTGTTTCACAATCTATCTAATAAAAAACAGTTTATACTTTTTCAGAATATACTAAGAAATGGATCTTTTGTTTCTATCATTTTTCTAAAATATTTAGTTTTTTTTTTAGTCTATCGTACAAACAGTAACAATATATAGATGTGGCTTTACTCTGTATCTCTAGAAGGCCATAAGTCTAATTAGCTTTGTTATCTACCTAGTGTCTATGTTTTTTTTTAAATTTTATTTTAGTTTCTGACTCTATGACGTTACATGTATGTGTATGAGGTTATGTTAGTGTGTGTGTGTGTGTATTTGTGTGTGTGTGTGTGTGTGTGTTTGTGTCCGTCTATGGGTGTGTGTGTTGGAAATAATTTGTCAAGCCTAATCATAGCAATATATGGCATTCATTTTGTCGAACAAACTAGGCTTGCCTAGACACTAAGAAAAACAACATGGAAATCATAATAATCGATTCCCTATTAGTTCTCTTTATTTAAAAAAAAAACAACAACACAATCCGTATTTTTAAAATTAAACAAAATGGCGGACCTGAAGAACCGCCGGATGCGAAATGTATTCTATTTATAGACACATTGTGTTCTTCCAATGCTAATTTGCCTGGGTGTCCAGCAAATGCTGTTTGTCTTCGATCTGTAATTTTTTTTTTTATCTTGATCAGTAGGCGTAGAGAGCATGGAAAAGAATGCCGGGGGGGGGGGGGGTCAGAGAGAGAGAGACAGAGAGAGAGAGAGAGAAAATTAGAGAAAATGTTTGACAGATATCGAATTTCGTGTAGACAAACCACTAATTCGCGCTGGATGTAAAAATCAATGTTAAAATATATTTTTTTTTGAGCCGTAGAGGAGATGGGTTGTTTTTCTGTTCTTTTTAGCTTGTTAAATTGCCATCAGGGCCTAGTGGCAGCATTAACTCTATATATTATATGGATCTCTATGCAAAGAAAAAGTATATTGATACATAGGTAGTGTGTATATATATATATATATATATATATATATATATATATATATATATATATATATATATATATAGTTATTTATTTATTTATATTCACCTATATATATGTATATAAATGCCTATATATATATATATATATATATATATATATATATATATATATATATATATATATATATATATATATACTAGCCGTCCCGGCCAGGCCCTACTCTGGCTTCTGTGAAAAACCTTTCTGTTAAAGACCATTACCTGTGTGTTTAGTAATCATCATAAACCCGGCATTGCACACCCAAACCCAAACCAAAACAACAAAACGCAAACATAAAGCTAACACAATTACAAATACAAACGAAAACAAAAACCTAACAACTAACCCAACCACAACCACAAACACCAATACAAACACAAAGAAAAAAAACAAACGAAAAAGCAAACGAAAACAAACCAAATCCAAATGCAAAACCAACCACAAACCCAAAGAAAAAAACACAAACGAAAAAACAAACGAAAACAAACCAAATACAAACGCAAAACCAACCACAAACACAAATACAAACACAAACGCAAAGAAGATAAAACACAAACGAAAACGAAAAAAGAAAGAACAAAAACGAACCAAATCAAAACGCAACCACTAACGCAAACCCAACCTAAACACAAAGAAAACACTAACGCGAACATAAACGCACAGTGCTCAGAGTCTAGCCCGGGGCGGAATCGCCTGTTTCAGCTTAATAAACGACTATAGTACCCCAACTTATTTATAGTCTTTTGCACTCACTTTAATGAACGTAGGCGCGAAACCGAACACGGGAGGCCAGGGACCCCAAATAGCACCCTGTCTGGGCGCCAGAGGATGCACCATGACGTCACCGCCTGATTGAACTTAGTAAACGACTATAGTACATAACTTATTCATAGTCTTTTGAACTCACGCGAACGTATATACCATAGCGTACACCGGAAGGCCCGGGGCGCCAAATAGCACCCTGTCGGGGTGCCGGAGGACGCCCGGATTTGATTCACTTAAAGTCTATAGTAACCTTTCTTACCCATAGTCTATCGCACTGTTAAAAACAA